TTTATCAATTAGCTAAAATTTGTAACCCTTGTAAAATTTCTTACTTTCTCTGGCTTTATGTCCTTCAGAGCTTTTTTAGCTGTTTTTAATCCATTACTTATTTTTTCTTACTAATTTTTGAAATTTGAGTGTAAGCTCTATTTGATCCTCTCTGAGTCTGACCACAGCATGGTGCTCTGAAGCCAAGCAGTTTTCATGCTTTTGTCCCCACCTCCTCTAAACCTGTGAATTTCACAACTCAAAAAGGGGGAAAGTCTAAATTCTCTCGGTCTGGATCTGAAAGGACCAGTTACTTTTCAGCATCGTCCCCTTTCTGACAGAGGACCAGGATGTTGCTTTTCACTTCTGGGGCACACATATGAAGCCAAGGAGGCATTCTGTGGCACAATTTGAGCCATAAATCAATATAGGGAAATTGATCTGGATCTACCCATCAAGGGGTGGTGACTGTTAGCTAGACGGACCAGAAGAGACCCTCACCTAGGGATCTCTCAGTTGGCCAGGCTAGGCAAAGCTTGGGCCATTTTAACTCACAAAAGGCTCTAAGTTTTGGGGTTTCATCTCAATACCATAATTTCCAGTAAAACCTTTCTTAGAATTCCTAAGCATGCATTCCAAAACAGTAGGATGAGATGTTTCTGTCCCCACGATTGGCCGATCAGAGTGTTGGTGTGTATGAGTACCCTTGTACAGAGATGCAAGACAAACAAAGGTGGGGGATCACTGGCTCACCTGCCTGGCTGCAGGCTTCTCTGCCACTTTAAGGTCTGTTCAGGCTAAGGGGGGCTGTCGCCTAAGCTCACTATTGTGCCTTTGTTAAATGCATCCACACACAAATTCTGCAATTCAGGGAGGACTCTTTAAGCACAAGCACTTCCTTCCTCTGTCTTGTTCTGCAGCTCATTTCATACACTCTCCTATCCAGAACTCTTTCACTCACACATTTATTCAGAAGTTATCACATTCCCTCCCGGTGACCCCCCTAACTGTAACCAAAACAAATGAAAGAAGCTACCTCCCCAAATGGCAAAGCACAAGGGGTGATCAGGCCCCTGCACTATTTTTGCCCAAAGTTCACAAAGTGAACCAAAACAAATGGGAGGAGCTATCTTTCCAAATGGCAAAGCACAAGGGGTGATCAGGGCCTATGCTGTATTTGCCCAAAGTTACAGAATACAAATTCAGAAGGTGAAACCAAAAGTTAACAACTAGGGGGTTCCCTGGGGTTTCTCACCCAGCAAAGGAAAGAGACAGAGGAGACACCAAAAACAGCAGTCCTCCTGTAGTCTCTTTGGGTTTGTGCGATCCTTCGCCTGGTGAGCGGATCTCTGTGTCCTGTTGGGGAGCCTAGGAAATTTGTCCCAGGGGTGCACCTTTCCTCTCTGGGAGACAGAGAGCCACTCCCTCTGGTGGGGTTTGGGCCAATGCCCAAAAGGGTTATTTCATTTCTGATTCCTGGCCAACGCACCAAATGTTGCAGAAATCTCGGAAAGAAATACACAGAGACAAAGAATTTGGATAAAATAATAAAATTTCTTCTCATGCCAGTGGGCAGGAATGCGAGAAACCAGTCTGGTCAGTATCTGCCCCCCTTTGTTCAGCATTTCCCGTTTTATATGCTTTTTAGTCATTATCTCATCCCTAGTGTTCTTTGATATTTAAATACAATTCCAGTTCCTATTTACAAGTTACAGACACACGATAGGCCATATGCATTGTAAATTCACCCTGGTATGGTAACTTTGTTAGGTTAATGAAGTTCTGGGTTAGAGTCAGATAATCCTTACCTTAAACAAGGAGTTATGGGAAGGGCAAATCTTAAAAGAACACATTACTTATTTTGCTTCTACAACTACCTTAATATTCAATCTATTAAGTCATCTGAAACTTTTCCATATCATGTCTAAGGGAATAAGTAGATCCAATCATGAGAGTTGGATCTCAGTTTTTAGATATTAGTCACAGTTGTAAATGGCATACACTTTAGTCACCTCCACTTCCCCTTACCTTAACACCATTAGCTTCATAATCCTGTAACTAGCAAAGGAATTGGTCCCTTGTTACAGGGTAGCATTATGGTGGCCCAGCCAGTCCTCTCTACTTATCCATTGTGGGGCCAGTGAATGGTGACATCTTTGTCTGTGAATCTCATGATGTAACAGAAAGATAATGTCAGGGACAATACTGTTCTCAGGTTCCTTCAAGCAGGAGGTGCCTCTAAGTCTACCCCCTTGGGCTCTGGGCATCCAATCTCAGTTTTAATGGCAGGATCCCACCCTACTCCAACTCTGTGGTTCTGAGACTTAGTGGAGTCAGATGTGGAGTCTAAGACCTGCTTTCCCTTTTGGGACCCTGGGCAGTCACTCTACTTTATTTTATGGTATCTGCAGTGGTTAGATTGTAGCAGGCATGCCTGTACATGACACTAATGCAGATCTTTGTCCTTCTATCACTGTCCACCTGGCAGGCACACGTGGCCCCAGAGTCCGGAACCAACCCATGACTGATCAGTTCCAACAGGCATCTCCTTTCCTGTGACTCCAGGGCCTCTCTCAGCTCTCAGATTTGAGATTCTGAGAATTTGCCTTGAGGATTTCTTTAGTGTGAAGCTGAGTCTGAGAGCTTAACTTCATACTTTCTCTTGTATCCGACAGAAATCAGGGTGAAATGGCCCACACCTGCCGTGGAACCATCAACCTGGCCACTGTGCAGATTGGCACGGAAGACTCCTGTGGTATCTTGTTGATCAGTGGGGCAAGGAACTATCACCTCAAGAGCAGCTCAGAGGTGGACCGGCAGCAGTGGATCACTGCCCTGGAGCTGGCCAAGGCCAAGGCTGTCCGCATGATGAACACCCATTCAGGTAGTGAGCACTTAGTAATATAGTGGGTATGTACAAGTGGTATCATGGGTGTAGAGGAGTGGGAATTAAAAGTATTTGCACTGCAGTGGTGATCAAGAGACCCAGGGTATCTGGACCAACTCAGAAGGACAAGGTCTATATGTGACCTTCTCACTCAGCTCTTGGCATTCTCAGCAGTGAAATGCTCAGCTGCTCTGCCAAGGTGGTCAGGGGTGGCTGGCAGTCCTTGGGATGAATGTGTTTGCCATGCAGGGCTGTGTGTGCCTTTGGACAAGCCTGGTTGCTGGGATTTCAGCAGATCCTTCAGAAGCTACAGTAGCTCAGGCCGAGAAGTAGCAGTCTGGGGTGGGTGTGCAGGATCCTGTGTCTGTGCCTAGGGCCAACCTTGTTCTCCGTGTCCCCTTTGTGAATTCTGAAAATTGTTTAGCCAGAGTTGCTGCCTTTGCTGGGGTGGAATACCAACTCAGATGTTCTGAGAAAAATTATTTTTTACATTAATAGATTAATTTAGAAGTGCTTCATATGCTTTATAAACCAGCAGCTCCAAAAACCTACAAGTAAAGTCTGTGTTTGACACCTATTTCCAGCCACACACAGTTCTCTCACTCTGAAGGCAACTAGAGGTACTGGTGGCACATATATATATCATGTTTTCTTTTTTAATTAAATATTTTTATTAGTATAGTACATGTTTGCAGTGTATAGTGATTACATTCATTATAGGGAGTTGATACATGTACATGATATATCCTAATTCTTTTTTTTTTTGGTACTGGGGATTGAACTCGGGTCCTTGCACTTGCAAGGCAGGTGGCAGCACCACTGAGCTAAATCCCCGGCTCATTATTCCCTTATTTTGCTGTGACACATCATGCTGCAACAAGTAAACTGCAAATATTTCATTTCACATGTGCCTACTTACAAATACACCAGAATAAGTGTATCAAGATCCAGGTTTCTAGATCAGTGGGAGTGTATGACATAAGTGCATCATGTACCATCAACCTGCTTTCCATTGGGGTTGTATTCTGAGGTACTATTAACAGGATGTGCGAATATCTGCCTCTCAGCTGTCTTGCCCACCCAGAGCCATCACAGATGTTCCTGATGGGTGAAAAATGTGTCTGCAAATACCAAGAGCAGGATCAGGCAGCTGTGATCCTTCTGAAGTTATAAGTAAAGCAATGTGTGTTTCTGCAGACGTGCGTATTTTTGGATTAGCAGGGTTCCAGCTGAGAAAGAGGCACAGTCCCTGCTGTCCAGGACTGTCCCTGGGTCTCCTGACAGCCTAGGTGGGGAGAAAATGAATTCTGTATCCTGTGGGAGGATCTCTAGCATCAAGTAGGATGCCCAGTCACCAGCCCAAATCCTGTCTCCCCAGGTTGGGCGTCTCTCTCCCAGTACTAGCTTCTCAGTGTTCATTGAAGGGCATGCATCAAATATAATTATGGCCTTCTCTTTTGTTCATTTGGAGCATAGGTCTTATCTTATTTCATTTTCTTTTGCTGCAAGAAAATACCTGAGATAGGGTAATTTATCAAGAACAAAAGTTTATTAGCTCACAGTTCTGAGACCGGGAAGTCTAAGAGCATGGTGTGAGCATCTACGGAGTTTCTGAGGAGGGCTCCCCCGCTCCATTTTACATTGTTATTGGTTAGTTATCATTAGTTGATGGAGTAAAATAAAAATCCAGAACTCCACTTATCACAAGTGCAAAAGAAAGAAAAATGAGTATGTATTATGTAACAATTCTCAAATCTTTCTTAGATATTATCACTGGACTTGAAATCAGTATTCCCACTTTAAGATTATTAAGGCTACTTGGTCTACATATAATCAGTAATAATGTTCCAGAATTGCGGAAAGAAATGTACGGAGAAACAGAATTTGGGTAAAAAAAAGCCTTTAATCTCTAGCAAGGGAGAATGCCAGAAACTCATCTGATCACTGTCTGCCCCATCCTTTGCTTTAACATTTCCTTTTATACCTTCTTTTAGCCATTACCTCATTTCCAGTGGACTTAGTAAAATTTCTGTTTCTCTTTTACATCTAGTTCCTGTTAATGGTTACAGTCACAGACATATAACAAACAGATGGCACCTAAAACACATACATTGTAAACTACCCAAACATTTCTATTTTGCTTTTCTCCAGGTTAAATGTTATCTACAGTTAGTTTACAGGTCAAAGGTTCAGTTAGCCATCACCTTAAACATAAGAGTTATGGGAAAGGTAAATCTTAAAGGAACGGATTACTTATTGTACTTCAGCTACCTTAATAACTAACCTATAGTTTAAATTTTCTCTATCATTCCTCCCTTTGTCTGCTTCAAGATGATTCTTCTATCCATAATATGTCCTATCTAATTTATCTACATTTCTTATTAACATCATTTGATAACGTTGAACAGCAGCAATATGCTTATGGATAAATTTTGAAATCCATTGGACAATGCAAGGGCCAAACATCAGCACTAACATGATAACAAGAAGAAGGCCCAAAAGGGGTCCTACCCATGATTTCCATCTTTTCCAAGTGAAATCAATTCCATAAGACAGCTCACCTGTACCAAATTCATTATCAAGAGTCTTATTTCGATCTTTTAATTTGTCCAGTGATTCTTGCACTATACCAGACTTGTTAGCATAATAACAGCATTCTTCACTGAGGAATAAACAAGTTCCCCCTTTTTGAGCTGTGAGCAAATCAAGAGCTCATCTGTCCTGTTCTGCAGCACCACATGGGCTAGAGAATCTAGCTGAGTTTCTAGGGCTTGGAGTGCATCTCGAATTTCCTCAAGGTGTTTTCTAAATTCTTGTCCTAATGAAATATACTGTTTTTACCCTAGGCCAATGGCTGTTCCCCCTAAAATGAGACTGCTGGTGATTGCAAATCCAGTTAGGATAGGTAGCACCACTGGGTCTCTCTTTGTTTGAATTATTTGCACCGGGGAAACGATTTGTAAAGACACTTTTTTTATGGCTGCCAGATGTAAACAGACAAATTTGGGATTAGAATCCCCAAAGTACACTTTGTGGTGATTTTTCCTGAGATCACCTTGTACACTCCATCTCCACAGATGAAAAAGGTCCCATTAGGTTCTGCATAGTTGTTTTCCTCATTCAACAAGACTAAGTTGGTGCAGGTTTCATTATTTTCCTCATTACTCCTATTCTGTTCTAGGAAACAAGTCCTCTTTCTGACTGTCCTAGTTGGGTATCTCAAACGTGAGTGCATGGCTGCTCTGGTGACATTAAGGATTAGGTTGGTATATATTCCTATTGCTTCATAATTCATCAAATTTAAGGGAGCACATAACCAGCAATCTGATGCCAGCTCCTCATTTGCTTGCATCAGCAATTAGATTTATCATATCTATTCCAGTATAGTTCTGAGAGTGCCCTTTCAGCATAGCTTGGATTTCTTAAAGGGCAGGGGTCTTTCCTATCTCAGGGGGAGCAGCTTTCCACACCTTTTTGATTTGTAATGTCTATTGCTTTATCTTTTGAGGTCTATGTTTGGCAGTGGACTGATACCCTATACAAACCTGAAATATTTTTCCTTGTGACCACGTGGGATTCCATGGGTCTAGCACATTCATAGATATAGGATTACATTGACCTTGTTTACATTTATCACAGTTGCTGGTGACATGTCCAACAATCGAGTTGTTGAGCCAAACCCTTGATTTCCTTTACAGTATGGCTTTTCAACCTACAATCCCCCACAATCAGAAGCTACCCAAGGCCCCCCGTAATGTTCTCTTGGGCAAGCATCAAAGAATACAGTGAATGGATAACACTCTGGTTCCCATTTTACCATTTTAAGTTACAAAATGTTCATCACTAGGCTTAAACACCCGCAGTTCAAAAACAAAGAAACTCAGAGCAGTAGGGATCTGGCATAGCACAGGAGTCCATACTGCCTTTCCCGGTGCTCCCATTCTTCAGCCATGCATTGGCTCACCAGCCTCTGGAGTGGTGAGAGCAGGGCTTTGAGTGCTCTGTCTCTTGGCTTTCCACATTAGCTTTATTGTTACCTTCTGCAATGAAGTCTTTGCCTTTCTGATGTCTTGAACAATGTATCACTGTAACTTTGCTAGGTTCCCACACCATCTCTAGGAACTGTACAATTTTCTGTCTATTCTTGATTTGCTTCCCTTCTGCTGTGAGAAGACCTCGCTCTCAATGAATCATGCCATGGAGCAAATGCATAGTAAGAGTCTGTATATATTATTTACCTTTCTGCCCTTTGCCCATTGAAGTGCCTGTATGAGTGCCCAGAGCTCAGCCCATTGTGCCAACCAGCCAAAAGGAAAGGACCCCGGCTAGGATCACCCCATCCTTTGTGGTTACTGCATATCTAGCATGACAAACCCCATCTTCCATGAAGCTGCTCCCATCTGTGAACAGAATGAGGTCAGCATCAGACAAGGGTGCCATTTGCAAGTCAGGGTGGCTGGAAAAGAGCTCATCAGTGACACTCAAGCAATCATGATCGGCAGGGCCTGTCTCCATGGGCAAAAAGGTACCAGGATTTAAAGTTTTTACAGGAAATAACCCATAAGCAGGGCTTCTCACAGAGGAGAGCTTAATACTGAGTAACCCGATTATTTGAGAGCCAGTGATGCTCCCTTGTGTTCAGCAGTTCTAGGACCACATGTGGAACCTGCTCAGTCAGTTCCTGACATAAAGTCAGCTTGTCTGCTTCTTGGATCAACAGAACTGAAGCTGCTAAGGCCCAAAGACAAGGAGGCCATCCTCTTGCTACTAGATCTAAATTCTTAGACAAATATGCCATCGGTTGATTCCATGGGCCTAGTTCTTGAGTCAGCACTCCAAGGGCCACATGATTTTTCTCAGTCACATATAGAGTAGAAGGCCACTTTACATCTGGTATGCGTAGGGCTGGGGCATCTGTCAAAGTCACTTTTAATTTCTTAAAAGCTTCCCTTTGTTCTACAGTGCAATGCAGATGATTCTCTGCCTGTCCCTTTAGG